TAGATGCATTGTTTCTCTCTTGAAACGTTATGTCAACACTAAGAAATTTACACACATCACCTGGAAACAGCTACGAAACTGCCTTGTGTTTATGCTCCATACGTTTCTTGGTAATAAAAAGATATTGGCAGCGATCTTGCACGTAACGTAACGACTTTCCATTAACTCAAGTAACGCTCGCCTCACTTGTCTGTCCTCTCCTGTGCTACGAAGTTATGTGCTTATGTATGTGTAGGCGGGGCAGTGCGGGTGCTACTGTAAATAACAGCAAAGTGCAGTAATGATGGTCACGCAGAGCTGAAATGAAACGAGTGTGCATAAAATCACCAAAATATTTGTTTCTTTTTTTCAGACGCTGTTTCAAAAGTGTCTGAATCAGACTCGTCCCATCCCAACTTTTTATTACTTGATCAACTGATTTTCCAATTCATTAATTTAGTCTAGAACAGTGTTTCTAAAATGGTGTGACGTAATTTGTCACCATTATTGATGCTTTTTTGTAATTTTAAAACGTTTAAAATGAATTCTTGAATCATTTTATTGATAAGTATTTCATGAGTAATGATTGGTTGTCAATTGTTATTTGATATAAGTGAATAAAAGCAAACAGTTATGTTGGTGTAAGAAGGACAACAAACATTATAGACGCTTCTGTGCACAGATATTTATACAGGTGTGTCTTGGGGATAAAAAGTTTGAGAACCACTGGTCTAGAAAACGCACAAAAATTGTGCCCTCAGCGCAAGATGGTGTCTTCAGATTAGGGCTGCAGCTAATGATTATTTTCATTGTCGACGAATCTGTCGATTATTTCTTCGATTAGCCGACTAATCGTTTTATCGAAAAATGTTGAAAAATGTCGGTCCATCGCTCTCAAACCCCAAACTTATGTCATCTAATGTCTTGTTTCGTACTCACGCCAAAGGTTTTTAGTTCACCGTCATGGGAGAGTGTGTAAAGCTGCCAATATTTGAACGTAAGAAGCTGCAGTAAGAGTATTTTGGGGTACTTTTATAGTACTTTTCTATGAAAAATGACTCAAACCGATTAGTCGACGACTGAAATAGTCACCGATTATTTTAATACTCGATTAGTCATCGATTAGACGACTAATCGTCGCAGCCCTACTTCAGATTGTTGGGTTTGTTCGGCCAACAGTTCAAACAACCAAAAATATCTGAGTTAAGATGATAAGAAGCTGAACAGAGCTAGAAGATTAACTGATAAATTGATTAGTAGCAACAATTTTGATTAATTTTTCATGTCAAAAATACAAAACATTTTCTGGTTTCAGCTTCTTAGGTGTAAACATTTTTCTTCCATGACTGTAAATAAAGTCAATAAAATACTGTGGGTGTTTGAATTTAGAACTGGGCTGAAAATCTGTCACTATTTTTGGACATTTTTCTGACAAATAATTGATTCATCAAGACTGATCGATAGTGAAAAATACGAAAGGCGGAAGTGAGAAAAGCAGCAAAAAATCCAAACACCTGAGAATGATCGACAATTTTCTTAATGAATGACTTGAACATTTAATTGTCAAGATTGTTATCAACATCCAATTGAATATAAGCCTCATCACCTCAGCACAGATCCTGTCCAAACCTCTCAGATCCCCACTGTCAACTCTCTCCCTATCACTGTGTACTGTACAAAATATTTGGCAACAACACAAATAGTTGTCAAAGTGTTTTCCTGATGCAGAGTGATCTAGCTGTCACAATTGGTTTCACTAACTTAATTTACTGCTGCTCCACTTTAGATTAAATGCGGAGCTGTATTACGTATGAAAACACAGCCCGGTGTTGTGAGGACTTGTGTTGGCAGACAATCAGAGGACTGGGAATGGGCTCTCGGGCAAAACAAAACTTGATCGGGGCATCCTCAGATTCTTATTGCTGTGCACACCTGGCCCATAACACATGACAACTCTCTCTCTAATTATGCTGCAGTATCACTGACGCTGTATGCGACAGGTTCATGCCTGCTCTCTGTGTGTCCAAAGTAATTCCCGAAAATGTCGGAAATCCAAGAAACAGGAGTGAAAATGAAACAGAAATGTAAAGAATCACCATTAACTTTCAACTGTCTCCTGATGTAACTCTGCGGACCGTCACAGACAAAGATTCATGGAGGAATTCAGTTTATTAGCTTTATATTTTTAGCTTATCCAGTATGACTTGCAATAAAGCGAGCAGGTAATGTTTCACTCTGACACTTGGCTGCTGACAGACTCACTGACAGATTCAGGAATCAAACTCGTGATCACGCAATGAGAAAACACTCAGTCCAAGCCTACTAGACGGGACATGGCAGTCGAGACGTCAGTGCCTCCTGCCTGCCTGTCACTGCCTCCTAGCTTCCCGCCTATGAGTATTAATAAAGAATCCCTCTGGACATCGCACCGGCACATCTACAGGTGGCCGAGCGGGCAGAGACTTTAGTGTCCCACCAGCAGAGCTGCCGTCCAGGCCGAGGCACGACAGTCTGGATGCCAGCCTGTCACAGTGTTTCTGGATAATGAAGTGGCGTGCGGTAGCCGGACAGCTGTCGGGATGCTAATTAGGAGACAGACATCAGAGGAAAGAGTGTAGAGGGGGGTGGGGGACGAAAAAAGAGCGCTGCGGTCTGTAATTAATGGCTTAACGATGCAATGCTCTCACGGGCTTAATATAGAAGAGAGCCGAAAACAGTCTGAGTGACCCTGAAGAGGGTGAGAAAGGGGAGAAGGTGGTGGAGCACAAACAGGCTACTTGTCAATCATAAGTCAGAGCTCTGTACGGGAAGCCTCGGCTCACAGGTGATATTTGGGATGGCTGTTCATCTTCTAAGGCTCTATATCTTTTTAAAATGGATGCTTTCCTCTATGTGTTGGCCTCTGCACAGAAAAAAAGGAATCTTTGGTCACTTTTAGATTCACTCTTAAGTTTTTGACAACTAACTTTGCATCCATCTGGACGTGTAAGATGGAGCGCTTGGGAAATGATGACGTCATCTCCTCAGTTCATGCCTACTGCTGCTTTGTGCAATGACCATGCACCATAAACCACAAAAACAATGGCAGATGACCAGTTTGATTGTCAATTTGTTAGCACTCATTGGTCTAGCGACTACTTTACATTAGAACTTAATATTGCTACCACCCCATGGACGAATTGAGGTGTCTGCTGAGCCTAGTGTTAGTCAGTCCACCTCAGTGTCCACGGTTTGAAGTCTGCCAGAAACGAAAGTGTTGGATCAGGCCCCGTCAAACCAGCAGATAAAGGGACAATTTCAAAAGTGGGATTATTGATGATGAGAAGTGGAAGGAAAACTTTTGCATGTCCTAAGCATCAGTTGTTAGGGATGGACTAATACATTTGTTTCAGTGCCCATTTTCATACCAATAATTAGTCATCAAGGACAACAATAACCAATATTTGGAACCGATAAACACTTGGAGTTGCCTTGAAGCAACTTATATTTACTTAAATGGCGCAAAAGCTGGTGATGGGGTTACTCTCTAAGTTTGATTGATTCAACTAACACACCTTAAACACGCATTAAATACGGCTGCATTGTGACAGTATTTAACAAAGGGGGAAAAATTTGGCTTCATTATAACTCATAAGGTTCACAGACGAAAACAAGTCTTTAGCTAGACATGTTTTTCCCACTATATACAACATGCTAACGTTATTAGCTTGTGATGTTCTACATTGCAAAATTAGCCTAGCAACTTTTTCAAAATGTAATTGGGGGGGACAATGAGGGAGGCAACAATGTGGAGACTGCAGACAGGGAGGCGGCGGCATCAGAGCTGTAGTTATTTACCGGCTATGACATCCGATTTAGGGCTGCAACTAATGATTATTTTCATTGTCGATTATTTCTTCGATTAGTCGACTAATCATTTTATCGAAAAATGTGTTAAAATGTTCTCCCAAACCCCAAAATGATGTCATCTAATGTCTTGTTTCGTACTCACGCCAAAGGGTTTTAGTTCACCGTCATGGGAGAGTGTGTAAAGCTGCCAATATTTGAACATAACAAGCTGCAATAAGAGTATTTTGGGGTACTTTTAAAGTCCTTTTCTATGAAAAATGACTCAAACTGATTAGTTGACAACTAAAATAGTCACTGATTATTTTAATAGTCGATTAGTCATCGATTAGTCGACTAATCGCTGCAGCCCTAATTCGATTATCGTAAAAATGCTAAGTATCGCAGCCAATAATCGGCCAGGCTGATAATCGTTTAACCCTTACCACTAGTACCTTTGAGTGAGCTCCTACGTCCTTATGTCAAAGGGGAATCGACTATGATGAGAGCTCCAAAAGGTGTTTTGAAATAGGAAACGTTAGCCTGTACACTTTAACATTTGCAACAACGTCAGACTAAGGCAGACAGCTAACGCCAGATGAGTCGTTTTTGTGTTCTAATGTGAACAGAGATGGCTTGTAAAATGAAGGTCATGTGAACGTAAGACGTGCACATGAAAGCGACATTCTCGCACAAAGCAACAATCCAAAAACATGACAAGATTTTCATTTCGGTCAAAAGACAGCAGGTGTTTCATGTCATGAATTAGGTTAGCGTTCCCTCCACTGTTTCTGGTCTTTTTCAAGCTACTGCCAGCTCATCCAAATCTGCTGCGTCTGCAAAGGTGTCAGTGTGCCTGATACAAACCAACCAACCAACTTAGCATTTGCTTGCTAGGTCTTATTCAACAAGGACAATCGTATTGGCAAAGGAACACATCATCTCCTGTGCAGTGAACAATCAGATATGGACTGAACTAGACTCCTTAATAGCAGCATATCTGGAAGCCATAGTTACCCGCCAGGCGAGCCAAAATATGAAACAAATACTGTGACATCAGCAAAATCACATTTATTAGAGCTTTAATATGTAAAAAAAAAAAGCATTTCGAAAGAGGAAGAAGGGTGAAAGGACAGAGTGATTAGGGATGGAGAGCAGAGAGGAGTTTTAAAACAGTCCAGCAGGGTGATCCTTACCATTGCTGTGTGTGCCGTTGTCCCTGTCCCACGCCTCCACTATCACAGTGTACGCTCGCTGAAACACACAGAGGGAGGGGGCAGAGGTTATCACAGTGCACGCTAATACAGAAACACAGCACACACATACACACACAGAAACTCAGATATGCCCACTTGAAGACGCAGACGTGCACAGAAACTCAGATACGAGCTGCCGTCACTCATAAACAGACACACATGTACTATCAAACACAAACACACACACACACACACACACACACATAATCTGCATAAAAGCTGAATAACGATGGGAAAGTAAGTCTCGTTCCCACACTGCTGTCACTGATTAGCCTCCATGTGCCCCGGGCTAGTTAACCAGTGAAGCCACTGTTCTGCCGAGGAACAAAACATTCACCTGGAAACCAACACCTTCTTCATATTTCACCACACGGCTCAGCTTTATTATCATAATCTGGTTTCAGAGCCAAAATCTGAATCCAGTTCAGGCAGGGATTCACCCTCTCTCTCTCTCTCTCTCTCTCTCTCTCTCTCTCTCTCTCTCTCTCGATCACACTGTATTGATCCCAGCGGGTGTATCTTCGTCTTTTCCTCAGCTCCACAGGGAGGTCAGCGCCCCTGGAACTAGCAGGGATTTGATGACTTGCTCAAGGGCACTTTGTGTGGTAATGTATTGATTTCCGATGGGGAAATTTGGTTTTCCTGCCCTCTCCACGGGGATCTGGTAAAGACTGTGTGTGCCTTTTAATTCAAGTGGCAGGGGAGACATTTGGGATGATGGAATCAATAATGTTCAGAGGTTCTTGCAGCATACTGTGGCCTGAAATAAAGACTGTCTCAGCATAACAAAACTTTTTTTTAACTAAGTCTGTACTAGGGCATTAACAGAAAAGTCAATTTGTCAACGTGTCGACGTCAGTGGCACAAGTCGACACCCCCCGGGAGGAGTTGACAAGTCGTGTGTTTTTTCCCTCTCTCTCTCTCTCTCTCGCTTGTGTACAGAATGCAATCGCTGCCTCTGATTGGCTTACACTGATACTTTATCCTTGACTTAACCAATAGTCATAGTCACTTCATAAAAAGGGCGGTAACGTTACTTGGCGCGTAGAGGGGAAATTAACACAAGACCACAACAAGACAAGAGGCATGGCTGCAGAGAACGTAGAAGGTGATAGGCCTGAGAAAACACCTGAAGGCCTGAACATACTCGAGCGGAACGTACGCAGAATGGACTCCGCGGAGGTCCGCGCAGACTCAAAGCGGACGTCCGCAAGTCCTGTGCACGCAAAGCTCAGATTTTACGACCGCGCGGACTCCGCTCCGCGCACCAGTGACTGCTCGGCATGTATTTTTCCCATCGAGGGAATTTTTCACGGACATTTTTACAGGAAACTACAACGCGGAAGTGCGCTCGACTATGAAAGCCCGAATGACTGCGGACATTCCTCGCGGAGTCCTCTCCGCTAATAGTACGCCCGAGTATGTTCGGGCCTTGAGAGTGACAGACACACATCACATGTGTGGAGATACTTCACTTTCCTCCGCCGTGTCAATGTGATGACATCATCAAATGACTTGTCGACTCGACTTAGACTTTATTGACAGATAAGTCGACCTGAAAAAGTCGTTAATACCCTAGTCTGTATACACAATGGCTACTGCACATTTCTTAGGGAAGTAAAGTATGATAGTATTCAATACTCAGTCACTGATCAAGTTTGATCCCCAGTCTATACAATGATCTGAGTGGTGCTCCAAATTTTTGTGCTGATGCTCCTCAGATTTTGAGTAAGGAGCAGCAGTGCTACTAGAGGAGAAGTTAGTCCATAGCCCTGAAGTTTATATTCAGATGAGGCAGCGTTAACTTAATAAATTCGTCTTTCATCAGGTGAGACGATCACATTCAAAACTGCAGTGACAGATACCTAAAAATCAGGACTTGAGCTGCTATGAATTATTATTAACTTTTTTTTTGACTACTTCTTGTCATATCAAATTTCAGAAAATTTTTCCCTTCTGGTTAAAAAAACTTGCATTCAGCTCGCTCCCGAAAATTTAGCAAAACGTTCTTTTAAAGAAAAATGGTGGTGCGTTAACAACCTGTTGTTTTACACAAGCCTTTTAATGCCACAGGGTTTAATTCAATTCAATTCAATTTAAACGGGCTTTACTTGCATGGGAAATATGTTTACAATGCCAAAACAAAAACTGTATGTACAATAAGTAAGGGTCAACTAGACTTTGGTTTATTTACACGTCACTGCTGATTGGGCAACACCCCTGACACACCCACCAAACAAGACAAAACGTACCTCAAAGTCTGTTGCACGCCAGAAACCGTATTTTTTTCAGACCGAATGTACCTAAGGCTAAAGTTTTCTTAAAGGGACAGTTAACCCAAAATCAAAAATACATATTTTTCCTCTTACAATTAGTGCTCTTAAACAGTCTAAATTGTTTTGGTGTGAGTTGCCGAATGTTGGAGATATCAGCCGTAGAGATGTCTGACGTCTCCGATAAAATAAAACTAGATGGCACTCAGCTTGTGGTGCTAACCGGTCAACCGTATCCCTGCACAGAAGGAAGTGTGCATCTACTCATGGACGAGAGGCTTGCGCTTATGACAGCATGAGATATAAAAATTAATGGCGTTAAAGTAACGTTAGCTAGCTTAATGGTGCTAGGTGAGCTAGCAGTAGATGCATGCCTCCTTCTTTGTGGAATAGTTCGGTAGAAAGAAAATAGTTCCCACATAAAACTGCTCACAACAAGATCTGTGGATTATTTTGAGTAACCGGGTCATGATTTCTGGAAAGAGACATTGCTGTTGAGTTTTTTTAAAATATATTTTTGGCTCTTTGAGCACCACAAGCTGAGTGACATCTAGTTCTGTTATATTGGAGAGAAGACAGACATCTCTACGGCCGATATCTCCAACACTCAGCAACTCACACCAAAACAATCTAGACTGATAAACAGCTCTACAGGTAAGAGGAAAAATATGCATATTTGGTTTTCGGGTGAACTGTCCCTTTAACGCTTAAGAGTCACCAGTTAGACACGTGTTGTACATAAAGCATTGAGCTGAAGTTAAAGTTGATCAGGTGGACTCTTCACTGGGTCTGTTTCAGTGACAGACGTTAACACATTCATTAGAGGAAATGCTATTAGTATTGTGTAGATTAATACCAACATTAAATCAATTATTAAACACTATTAGGTGCTGCAGTTCAGTATTGTGAGGATATTGTGTGTAAAGGCGCAGCATGCCTGCACACTATGCCCTACTTCCCAGAGGAGACTGACTCCGCCATCCCACAGCAACAAACTCAAACTCTGGATTGTTTCAGGTGCAGGGCTATTTTTTTCCTTTTTTTCACGGGCATCAGCAAACAAACCGAAATGGAGCTCGCAGTCTGTCAACTGCATGGGGCCGGACGAGCAGCTGTGAGTTCCCATGACCCAAGTCTGACTCAGAGTGAGTGAGGGCTGCAGGGAAGATTACAGGGGAGGTTACAAAGTGGTGCTGGGAGAGATTAGAGACAGGGAGAAGACAGAAACATGAAACGACAAGGTAGAAGGCTTAAGTGTTTTACTGCACTTTAAAGGTCATTTTATGGCGCTCAGATTTGGGTAGTTCACAGTTGGAAGAGACAGAAAAGACACAGGAGAGACCAAGTCATGAGTCAGATATGAAACCATGTTGTTACAAGTATTCGGTTGTTGCTTTTGGGTGTGTTCACAACAAGCAGGTTTGGAGCTGCAGGGCTCCAGACTGCGACCATTGAGGCACATTTTGCGACCATTTTGAAGACAGTGCAACTAAATTTTATGACAAGGTGCACCAGTCTGACCTGCAAATATGCCCCCTATTTAATTCTTTTAAATCACCATTGCATATCATGTGAAAACACCAGGAAGGAGTCAGAATTGGTTTGTGTGTGATGCTTTGCGAGCAACATTACTACGTCTTCTCTAGTCGAAAGGAGTTCGCTCTGTTCTGCACGTCTGTCCCCAACTTTGGCAGCGGCTGGTTTGACCATGGAGATTGGAGTGACAGCTAGCTTGACTGCAGTCTTTGTCTTAGTCAGGCAAGCTGGATCAAATCCTGTCCTTGAGTGCTTCTCAGTTGTCCAGAGGCAGCTAGCCGTCACTCGCATCACACTAAAGTTGGAGTGCCCCTGTACTCTGACCTTTACAGTAAATGCACTGAAACAGCCATGTGACTATTGTATTGTCAGACAGTGCCAGCTATTTTTTTTTGTTATATAAATTATTAATATGACAAATGCAAATTAAACTTTATGTGACCTCCTAGAATAATATCATCAAGTGCTTTTTCAGTCCACTAGATACGTTTTGCTGCAAAAAATAATCGCTGCAGTGAGACTAACAGACTGAAAACTTCACCTTCTTAGATAAAACAGATGCTGACAAAGTTTTCCTTTGTGGAAATTATTTACAGTTGAAAAAAGGTTATAAATCGCAATATATTGCAGTCATGTTTTATTGTGTATTTTATTTACACTCGTAGTATAAAAAGCGCTTTGATTGGTCGGAAGACTAGAAAGGCGACAAGGTGTCAGATGCCTAAAAATCAGGACTTGGTCCCCAGGAAAGGAAATGTTACTGACATCATCTACAAGAAAGAAGCCCACAGTAGAAATGCAATGAATGATTATTTTCATTTTTTGATGAATTCTTGTCACATTAAATGTTGGAAAATAGCAACAAAAAAGACACTATTTGTCTGATGCTATTTTCAAAGTCAAGAATAAACTGTTGTCACTGCTAGTCGCACTCATTACTTCAATGACTGAGGGCTCTAGTTTCCCGGCGCAGCGCAGGTGGCGCAGGGTGGCGAACCCCGCGCAGAGCTAGTTTCAAGCAGCGCAACCTGAGGCGCGCTGAGTTTGGTAGTTTGGCAGACCAAGGTGCGCTGAGATGGGTGTGGCGGCGCAGCAGGGGGAGGTGTCGACAGATCCAGCTTGGCGCAGTGACAGTTTCGTGCCAAAAGGCTTCGCCGAAGGTGCGCTAAAAGCTCGCTATCTAAAACCA